TCTTATTACTATCATATGGCCAAATAGACCTACGAAGTACCATGTGCTCTTGTGATATGGTATAAGGTTTATTTTTGCTTGAAACAGTTCGAAACCGTTCATGCATAAAAAAAGTTCGCTAATAAATAGTCTTTTGTCAATCTACCGCCGTATAGCGCCGGCGTTTTTTTCCTTTTGAAAACACTTGTTTTGCTATTCTTACTAATTAGACGTTTTCAAATCGACTTTACTTTTACATTTGTATAACCTTAAATAATATTTAACATTTGTAAATATTAATGAATCATAAACCTTATTGTTTTCCACATTAAGATTCTTGATTGTTTGATATTTACAAATATTATTATTAGGTGAAAATTTAATTTAATAAAAACCAAGGTTTTCCAGGGTGATGTAGCTGTACCTGTTTTATAAAAAAATACTTATATAAATTATTTTTTTATAAAGCAAAAAATAGTACAAAATGTTTGTAACCTCTGTATAAAAAAAGTCACTTACTCTCAATTTCAGTGAAAACACTTAGAAAAACACGTAGTTACCCACTAAAAACAAGCATCCTTCAGTTTGTAACTGATGTTTGATGTCAACTAAACTTAATTAGGTCTAAACAAATGAAAAAAGCATAAAAAAGAACATTACTTTTACACATGGCTGATGACACAATAGGCGTATCTTGAATTATTTGTTGGCCGCCACAGCTAAAAGTTGTCGAAAATCGGTACTACAACGAATCGGTTAAGCCCAATAGGATCTGCCCTGGAGGTCATGTAGATTCTTGCCAATCATGGTCAAAACTTTCTTATTCACTGTAGGCTTGTTTAAACCTTTTATAAATGTCAAAACCAACACCAGTTTGTAAAACAAGACCTGCTAATTCATTCAATGAATTCTGGGGTGATTTGTAAAGCTATATTATGTCATTTACAACTTATAATAAAATCAATATACCTAAATACAATATCATATTGGTACTTTGGGATTATCCTGACGACCTCTCAACACTCACAAACTAAATACATGGTAGAGCCATGCTGCAGCCATATTAGTAGTAGGACCATGCTCTCAAAATACCAGCTTAAAATAGCAGTTTAACACTGCTGAGGTTCATACGCTGAGTGTAGAGAACTGGAGACCCATTTTACTGGAAAAAAGGCATTCCGTCTTATGGGTGACAACGCGTCTGCATTTTGATTCTCAAATGAGAATACATGTAGATGTCTATGGGCCACAGCAAGCACTCACCATCATGTGGACTGTGTGCTCATTTGTCACCCAATCCTATAAAAAAAAAACATAATACCAATCTTGCAATATCAGTAATTTGAGGTGATGATATAATTGTTAACCTTAAATAAATTAAAATAGTGTTGAGAGATGGACAGGATAATCATAAAGTACTGTCAATTTTCACAATATATCCAATATGTTCAGAGCAAGAGTTATTTCAACCCTTATATTATGTTCAGGAATGAAGTGGACTTTTAATAAGCTATAACGAAAACATGAATGGATGAATGAATTTTGTTTAATATAAGTGTATATCTACCATCTATACTATACTACACAAAGTAGTAGATTAATAGATAATGCTTTGAATCCACCCTTTACAACTGTAAATGTTAGCACTTATGCTTTACAGTTGCAGAGGAGGCAGACAACAAGCAAAGAGAAGAGGAACTTTAAGTTACAAGTGCACTAACTGAACAACCTAAACAAGCATGCCGCAGAGATGGTTAACAAAGTTCAGGGGAATTTGTGAGTGAGCGGTGACAACTGTTTCCCCTCCAACCCTTCTTTCAATCCCTTATCATGGCCACTAACCTCATTTTTAACAATTTCCCTGTCCAAGAAAAAGACAGTTGTTAAGACAATCGAAATATTCATATAATATGACTCACGGGACAGTGAAATGGTTAAGAAAAATAACTGTTTACAATTTAGTACTTACTTTTACTATATAATCTGTATTTTTATATGTCCAGTGAATGGGAGCAACTTGTATCTGCTCTGTGGGTACGTATTCTTCTGTGAATGGCCCTCCTTGTAATCTTTGTAGAAGACATGATTTTCCAACATTTCTGTCGCCTTTGATTAATATTTTCACTAAAAAGTTAAACTAATATTACTTGCGAAATGTCCATAAAGTCGGAAATCACCTAAATTGGAGCCATATACATTTGAACGCAAATTATGCTAAAGAATTTTACTGTTAAAATGCACTCCTCTCGAAAATTTCTTCTGTAAAGAAGAGGACATCGGCATTGGAGCTGGACAGCGATCATCATTAATTCTTGTTAATTTCTTTAGGGCAGAAAACATGATTTGTTCAAAGATCTTCCGGTTTCAAAGGCTACTGTTTCCCAACATAACACGGGTAAATTCTGATTTGCCTTAAACTAATATAAACTAGTTTAAAATAATAGAAAATCAAAGAACTTTAGTTTTTAGGTAAATAAACATAGTATTTGTATTGATGTACTTTCAAAAACATAAATAGAGTAGAATAATATATACAGAAAAAAAACACGTCACAGTCATAGATAAATATTGGATAAGTAAATATCAAATATTAGGCTTGGGCAAAAAATATCGATATATCGATATTTTTTAAATTAAATATTGGTATATGGTAGATATTTTAAATTGCGATACATCGATATCCATATTTATCACGCGATATATATCGACGCTGTTTAAAAATATAGATTCGATATATATCGATATATTTTTATCCCTTACCCATCCCTATCAAATAGTATAGAACTGTCTGTCCTATACAGGAATGAGGATCCGTAAGGTTTTTAGTTGAGAATGCAGATTTATAGATCTAAGAAATCCTTAAAATACAGTGCAAAAATTTTTGTTCTACGACAAAAATTGACGAAGTTATTACCAAATTACTAGCGAAGTTCACTGACAGCCCGGCGCGGTAGCTGTGACGTCACTATGACGGTCTTCGCCAGTTAGCCGTTGGCAGCGATAAGGCGCGCAGTGTTTTGTTTGGTTAATTGTGACTTTGAAACAAGTTAAGTGTCCGATTTGTGTCTAATTCACCTTTTTAACTATGTATAAATATTGTATAGTGCCGAAATGTACAAACACTTCTATTAAAACACCAGAAAAACTATTTTTTAACGTACCGAAAGACCCAAAACTTCGTAAAAAATGGTATTCCATTGCAAAAAGAGATGATAAAACTACACCCTCTGCCCAGGCTACAAGACATTGCTGTGAAGATCACTTCGATGTACGTACCTACATATCTATTATACCTATTATTTAGTTGATATGGAAATAAGTTGGTACCTTATGTTACGTGTAGTGTACGAGTGACGTACTCGGGTAAAAAGCAAAGAGTGAATGATAATATTCTTTAATCATTTACATTACAGCGGTGAATTTATGTATCTGCCTCAGCTATGCCTTATTGTTAGAAGCAAATAAATTAATACTTATATTCATTTTTATATTTTCAGTTAGAAGAAGATATGGAAAATTACGTAAAGTTTAAGTTAGTTGGAGGAAAGCTTAAACTAAAGAAGGGAGTTTTGCCTCATAAGTTTGAATGCCAAAAGCCCCAAAAAAAGAAAATTGACAGACCCGGTTTTAAAAAACGACAAGACATTGAATATTTTGAAAGAATTTTAAGTAGAAATATTGGACACGAAGACCTGTTGTTGCATTCCATTGAAGTAGTAGAGTGTGAAAATCAAGACTCAAATAACATCCAAAACAGTGATCCCCTTAACATACCTGAAGAAATAGACGTATTATCAAAAAACAATGTAAGGAGTCAAAAAACACAAGCAGTGCAGGTTAATATGAAACCAAAAATGAAAACTAAATCTAATAATACGCCAATGAAATGGAAACAACCAATAGTTAAAAAAAAAGTAATCCCTAAAAATCTTGATCCAAACGTTAGCTTCACGATCAGCAACTCAAACTCAAGTGAAAATATTCGTTCTTTTGGTGTTAATGCTAGTGATAACGAGTCGAATGATTTAGAAATAACAAAAACGATGAACAAAAATTTCTTCAATGAGCATATGCAAAAGGGCGCTCTAATGGCTATATCTCGAGATCCAAAATTACTGATAGGCATTCCTGCCCATTCATACTTTTGTATCAAACATTTACAAAACTTCACGGAAATATCATCTATTGAAATCCTAGTGACTTTACGAAAAATCCGATGGCATGACCCAAACTCAATGCTTGCAATACATTTTGGCCTCTCTGAGAGTTCTGTGACTAAATATTTTAATAAAACTCTCCCAAAAATTGCACTGTGCCTGAATCGACTTATTATCTGGCCATCAGCAGATGATGTCAGAGAAAACTTGCCGATAGCTTTTAGGAAGCGCTATTCTAAAGCGATTTCAATAATCGATTGTTTTGAAATTCAAATCGAGAAACCTAGTAACGCTTCGCACCAAGCGGCTACATGGTCTCAATATAAAAGCTGCAATACCATTAAGTACTTGATTTCAATTACACCTGACGGTTTGATAAACTTTATCTCAGAGGGATATGGAGGGAGGACTCCAGACTCAACAATATTTGAAGACAGCGGATTTCTTGACAAATTGGCACAAGGAAGTATTGTGTTAGCTGATAGGGGTTTCAAAAATATTTCCCATTTACTGGAACAACGTGGTTGTACACTTCTGAGGCCGCCTAGTGTGAGTTCCAACTCAAAACTTACAGCAGAGGAAGTCTTGCAAACAAAGAGAATCGCTGCTATAAGAGTTCACGTTGAAAGAAGCATAGGGAAGTTGAGAGACTTTAAAATGATCGGACCTCACGCATGTGTCGATATTTCATACATACATTTTTTGGATAATATTGTAACAATAGCCTGTGGCTTAGTTAATTTACAGAATTGTCTATTTAGTAATCAAGTATAAAAACAAAATGCTTTCGTTTCTTTTATAGTTTTATTTGGACAACCTCGCAACATCAAAAGCACATGTTATATTATTAATAAAAGAATAATTTTAAGTCTCAACCAGTTTCGGAAACACTGATGTTTTCCAAAAATGCGTGGACTTCTCTAAAAGATCAGTACAATAATTTTCATCATAATCTTCTTCAAATATTTCCACTTTTTTATTGCTTTCAAAATTTTCATTAGCTACACAAAACAATCCCTTGACTTTATTGCAAAAAAACATTTGTAGCTGAATTTGAGCTTTCCATTTGCTGCCGATAACACTATTCTTTACAAAACTTTCCTTTCCTTTCTTTGTCGAGGGACATTTTATTTCTACTACGTATTCACTTGTCAATCCATCCGGAGAAGCACCCAAATGAGGCCAATCAGGTTTTAAAAAGAAACCACAATTTTCAATAACTATTTTCCTTGTTTTGGCTACTTCTGCTCTGACATTGGATTCCAATCGTTTGCCTCTTTTCATAGACAGAGTCTCTGGTACATAGGCACCAAATATTTGTTCAATCAAAGCACCATCAGGAGTCTTGCAATGTGCGGCTTCGTGAACTTTAGACGCGGTTATTCTACAATACCTTAACTCATGCCATAACGGTGAACTAGCTTGACAAACTGTTGCTTCCTCTGCTTTGTGACATTTCTCTATGGTGATTTTAGTAGAACAATAATCAATAAAATCATCTGCACTATTTATATTATTGCCTTCATTTTTGTATTGATGAACGAGGTTATGCAAAGACAATTTTTTATACTCATTCTTTGTAACGTATACTGATAACTGATTTTTGATAGAATTTTCCTTTAGGCTTTGCACAACTGCTAGGAAAAACTGATCTGAATTGGTGTTATCAGTATTTTTATCTTCAGTAGTAACTGAGCTGGGACCCATATCTTTAGCTTTTATAAATTTAGTACCTATAGTAGCCAGCTTTGGTTTGGCCCAGTAACATTTTTTTTCAGTAGGAGATGGCTCTTCGCCGCGTCTATGAAGCCACATCAAAAATGCTACGCTATGTTTGCAGCCTCCCTTTTGAGCAGCACAGTCATGACAGTTCACGTTCAAAACCATTTCCTCTTTTTCATCACATGTAAATGTACAGCTATACGCTTTACTTTTTATTCTATGTTCAGGCGTTATTTTTGCTTTTACCGTACATACATGTCCCGACCTCTGGACTTGAACAAATCCTACAGCATCATCTCCATAGGTTTCACGTGCTGATCTGTAATAAATAAAAAAAAAAACAAATAAAAATATACAAAAACAACATTCTATCCTATCCTACTATCTTACTTCCGACTAATATTATAAATGTGAAAGTTTATGAGGATGAATGGATCTTTGCTCCTCTTTCAAGCAAAAACTGCTGAACAGATATGTATGAAATTTTACAGCAACCGTGCATTTTTCTGGTATAAAAAGTATTTTATCTCGGAAAAATACACGGTTCCTCTACGATAAATAAATAGTAGTCTATGCGTACGAAGCCTCGGGCGTTCGCTAGTATTATATACACTTTTCATTTATACAATACAAGTCATCCTACTTAAATACATACTGAACGAATGATTTGTAACAATGAGCAAGATGACAAAAAAAACTGCCATTGGCAACCAATATTAAGGTTTCTGTCATAGATCAGCAAGTGTAGGGAACCATGCACTAAATAAAATGCAAGTAAGTTAAAAAACCATCTGCAAAATGATCTACATATGTATGAACGAAAACAACATTCCTTTTATCAAGATACTATAAGCACTTTATTCATAAGTTATGAATACGTCCCTGTAACTATACAACATTCATTCTTTCTTTCATTTACCTATACAACTTATTCCTAAAGATTACTAATAAGTACCTACGAACGTAGATAAATAAGCAGCACCCTTACCTTTGTAGTTTCCAACCACGGATTTCGGCGCTGGTGAACTTAGAATGATTACTTAGATAATCAAATACCATGAAAGAATCCACTTTTGGAAGGTTATCTGATTGAGCTTGCACAAAATTAGCTTCTACTTTATTAGCACTCATATTATGTACGTTTAATACTTAAACAATCACAAAATTATACTGTAACAACACTTTATTCAAATAAATTTCTAAATATAGTGCCCAACCGCGTCTCCGCACTCCAACGAATCGTGAACTACCACAGAATACATGTATGAACTACTATGACGCGTTCGTTTCCGTCGCTGTGACGTCACGCGGACCTGCGTACATCGACTTTTAGCGACAGAAACGGCCTATGTTTATTACTTAATATCTTCGTAAATAATGGTCCGATTTGGCTATTTCAAAAAGATATATAATTCTTATCTCATAAAGAATAACATGGATACTAGTTTTATTGAATTTTCTATAACTTTACTGATCCTCATTATGGAGTGTAGAGTACAAGGAGAACCATCTCTATATACGAAAAGTGTCCCTAAAAACGCGTCCAATAAGGGTGGCGCTGCAGTAGCATAGGATAAATTTAAAAAAAGCGCCAAAATTAATTAGATTAAGATGGAGATATAAACAAGGACCAACCAATCCGCTTGGTTTTGTACTACGTAAATAGTTGGAGTTTTTGTATACTGACATTTTACTAACTACTATAGTCATGAAATTTTTTAAATATTTGAATTCAGCTGACTTCACTCCGTCTACAACAGCTATCTTCATATCGTAGTTTTTCAGACGCCAGCGCTATTGTGGTAGGTTTTAGAACCTCTATTTTCAGTATATAGTGGGACACTTTTTCAATTTTCGCACCTTATAAGATGGTTCCCCTTCTACTCTACACTCCATAACAGGAATAAATATGTAGCATTGTTTTTTTTTAAGATTTTTGGCTTGTATGCTTGTTCTTTAAGCCAAAGAGAATATTACCACTACGTTTACTTTAAGCCTTTAAGCTTTGTCTTTATTTATTTCAGTATTTAGTGATAAGTCTTTGCCACTGACCTCTATATATGGACTGGGTATAACCGTGACATAATGAGGCTATTTGATTTTTGCCATTTTGGCGCTGACAGCAGAAGTGTACGTCCACGGAACTAATAATACAGATAATAGGGTAGTTCTTCAAAACGTGCTAAAATATTGTGCCGAACTTTAACATATAGATCTATTTGCCCATGTATTGTATGTTCAAATTAATTTTGTTAATTAGTACATACATCAAACTACATGGTGCATTAAAAAAATAGGAAGAAATACATAATATATTATATTGCTGTAAAATTTTAAAAATATGTCCAATATTTTCCCTACCGGTGTTGAGTTTCAACAGTAATGTTTTAGAAAAATATTTCATAACAAAAAACTTGTCTAGAGAACACTGATTTTATGTTAGTCCTTAATAGTCAGTAAACCATTTGATAATATTTTAATACTCGTCATTATCTAAACATTATATTTACTGTCGAAAAAACATTTTAAAACTTTGTATTAGTAAAAAAGTAATTACCGTGACAGAAACTATATTTTATTTTTTTACCCGGTCAACATCGTTTTATAATGTCAATTCACTATTGAGAAATAGGTAACATGTTTATTTGATCTGAAACTGCCAATTCCGATGCACATGCTGTTGTATCTTTATTAAGAAATAGCAAACAGTGTTGAATTTTGGTACTTTTGCCGAAATACAGTTCAACACCGATCCGCTAATTATTCAAGTAAGTACAATGTTTCATCTTACATTATAATATAGTGTCATGATATATGTGATTTTATGAATAGTATTTGTGTTCGTAATTTAAATTGTTTGTTTTTTATAATATAAATATAAAAAATCTTAGCAAATTTCACTATCATAACATTAATTCAAATTTTCATGGTCCCGGTAATGAATGATTTTAGCCGGTAATGAATTTTTATTTTTTTATAAATATTAGCAGCAAAGATGTTTTATAGGTCCAGATACCGTATTGCTAACACACCGCAACGTTCATAATGAAGACAGTCTTTGATTCATGTGTGCGTGAGTGCCACGTGACGCGCATATCTTACGCACCATGGCTGCATTAATGTGCGTGACTTCGGTAATAACAGTGCGAATCGATTACCCAAAAAATGTGGGAGATTTTATATTTCATTCCTATTGACGTACCTATTGATTCTAAGAGTATAAAATATGTGTGCGTGGCGTGTGCATTTGTGTGTGTGTATGGAGATATGGTTGCTTATGTGTGTTTTATGTAGGTACGAACATTGCACTAAAATATTGTAGATATGTAAAAAAACATATAATTAATGTAACAGTTAAAATAAATAAAAAAGCACAGTAGATATTTATGTATGTAACATATATTTATAATCTATTATTACTAAATATATACTGAGTACTACACTTTTGTACTGTAGAACACAAAATATTGACATTGCTTTCATTATTTCATCTACACTTATCTCCCTACCTCTCTCCACTTCTTCCGGAATTTCTATTGCACTTATTTCAGACGACTCTTCACTCTTAAACACGCTTTCAAAATATTCCTTCCATCTCTTTAAATTCGAAACTTCATAATTCAGCATGCAGCCATTCTCGTCTCGTATAGCATTAATTCTAGGCTGTTTTGAATTTCCCCTGGCTGTTCTTACGAGCTTCCAGAACATTTTAATATTTTCCTGGAAGTTATCAGATATCCTTCTATCATTTTTATCTATCCTTTCTTGGTTTTTCCTTTCAACAACTTCTTTTACTCTCTTATTTATACGTCTAAAGTCTGCCTTTTTTCTTTCAATCTCATCATTCATACCGCCAGAATTACCAGCTTTAGTTGCTAGTAAATCTAGCCATGCTCTATTCTTTGCTTTAACTTCCATCCGTACCTCATCATCCCATCACAACGTATTACTTTTCCTTTTATTCGTTCTCTTACTTACACCGCATACTTCGGTGGCTGCATCCACCAAAACTTTCTTAATATTATTCCATACATTCTTCTATTCTAAATCATTCATACATAATTCATTCAACCCACTTATATTTTCCCTCAGTCTGCATTTATACTTCTCTTTCACACCTTCATCTTGTAACCTCTCTATTCTTATACGCTGTAACGCAGTGGTAGACACCGATGTCCGATGCCGCCAACGTCTGAATAGACCATTAATTCAGCATAAGACCAAGTAATGATCCGTCCCTACGTTGGACCCCCGGTAAACTATTGTATCTACCACTGCGCTCTTCATTCTTTCATCCACAATTATAAAATCTATCATGCTTCTATCATCCCCTCTTTCCCATGTATACATGTGAATCGTTCCTAATATCCTTTCATAACCAGACCTCTTCACCCCAACCCTTCCATTAAAATCTCCTAACATAACAATATTTTCATTTTCCTTACATTTCATCAACACCAGCCTTACCATATCCCAAAACTGCTCTCGGATATAAGTGGGCTTAGACATATCTGGAGCGTACACCCCTAGCACAAACAACTTCTTTAAGCCCACTTTCATTCGTATCCACAGCAGCCTTGGGCTAACACATTCATACTCTTTCACAAATTGACCCATTCTTTCTGAAAGGATGACACCGACTCCCTGGCATGCCCGCTCGGTCTCGTCTACTCCAGACCAGTAAGCGGTATACATGCCATGTGCAGTGACATCTCTTCCCTTTCGTTTCGTCTCGTTTACACATAACACATCTATTCCTCTTTCATTCATCATTTCGCATACAAAATCACCATTAATTATTTCTGGGTTTACTTTCACAAAGCTATATAAAAGCAATGCAAAAATAGATGTTGACAAAATTACAAAAGAAGTTGGCACACAGACAACGTTTGAAGAGCTGATGGATGCTGATATTTATTTTAGAAGTCGCGACAAAACCCGAATATCTTTTCAAACGGATATATTACATAAGGTAGACTTCCATAATCAGCGCCCATCAGATGTAAGAAATGAAAATTTCGCTCGATTGATAGCGTTCGAGTTAGAAAGAGTGCCTGCAGAGAATCGTTCGAATCTATATCCCCAAATTATAAATATCATTATATTATACCGTGGTGATTTAGATTTACACGAATGTATAGATTTCGTCCCCATAATGAGTGATTCTGAAGATAGTAACGGCCACGAACTGCCATTGAATGTTCGTTACAAAAAAATGTAATAGTGAAAACTGTAGCTACATTTAATTTCAAATATTTGTTTAAGGGTTTTAAAAATTATGAGAAAGTGTACTTTTTTAATTAAATCACATTATTTTGATTTGTTTAACCATAGTTCTAACTTCTAACATAATTATGATTGAAAGTGTGATTAATACAATCATAATGGATATTTAATTCCTTAAGTTGTTACGTAGTCAGTAAGTTAAGCATTTGTGATTTAGATTAAGGCGCAGGTTGAGCAAAATGTCGCGTTAGTCGTTATTTGTGCGGTTTTTAGGAGCTATCTACTTTTTATTTAAAAGATATATCAACAAATAAAAAACACATTATATTTCTACATAATCTTTATTCCATAAAAGCTATATCCAATTTTTTTTAAAGGAAGAAATATTAATATAATCTCCTTACAACGAAACCACATAAATGTGAAATTATTATTGATAACATGCATCTCCTCGTAAAGTAAGTATTATTTTATTTTGCGATTTACACCAATGGATAGGCAATTTATTAATGAACATTTCTATAGTAAATTTTTTTTTCAAAAGACCAAAATTTGATATTATTAAGAAATTATTTTAAAATCTGGGCATATTCACTGCTCACGGGCTTGCTGAAGTCAGTGAGCGCTGAGCTCTTCGACGTGAGGCCCGTGTCGTTAGAGCGTCGACCAGCGCATACGTTCACGTCATATCAGTCGATAATATTATTACTTATTAGGTTATTTATAGGTAGTATTATTTGTTTGTTTTGGGTATAATTTTTCGTATTAGTTATACATATATTTGTTGTGTTTTTTACTGCGCGATGAAGCTTTTTGCGTGTATTTTCTTTGAAGTAAATACAAATAAAAAAATGAAGCACCATTAGCATGTAAGGTTCAAATCCATAATTAAAATTTCGACAAAT